ACACCATAGAAATTTAACTCTTGTTTATATCAATTAGCCTATGGCAAAATTGGTTTCATTACATGTCGTTTCACTCAAAGGTCGCAGCTTCCAAGAACCTATCAACAACAGTAAGTGAAGACGTGCTCTACGCAGACGGGGCTCTGTGCGGGCAGCAACACGCTCGGCGCCTCTCCGTGTCATCACAGCGCCCCCATGCACACATTCTAATACTGCTTCGTTGAGGAGAACTGATTCTCAAAGGGATCAAATAACTTGCCTGAGGTCATAAGTGCTGATCCAAAGTGGTCAAAATCTAAGCCTGACTTCAAATTCTTTTGTGTTGTCTCAGCTTAGGTGCTCTCTGTCTTACTCTTTTTTGTGTCCTGAAAGAAATAGTGATTAACTTTGGAGACATTCAGCAATGGCTATGTTGACTGTTTGAATAAATAAAAGTTCTCAAAGTTGAATGGTCTGCCCCCCATCCCTTTGCCCATAGCCCTGGATCTTCTTGACCTGGCGCCTGAGCGGCAAGCAGCCAGACCGTCGGAGTCCATGCTGATGAGACCTTCAAGCAGACAGATAATAAGATGACCGGTAGATGGATGCGGTCTAGAGAGGCCCATCATCTGGCAGTGTCAGCCTGAACCCTGGCCCTAAGGGACCGCTCGAGGCTGTGAGTTAATCACCCAGAGAGCCACAGGAAGAGGCCAAGTGGCTATGAAGTGAGGGGACAGTTCATCGCCAAAGTCAACAAAGTGCCTTGAGGAAGGCCTTTGGAACCGGCTGAGACAGTGCCATTCTCTTCAGAGCCTCAGGCTGGGGCAGAGCGACAGGCTGCCCGGGAGCCCTGCTCTGGAAGGGTCTGGGATTTTGTCCTACTTGCAAGCTAAAATGAGCCTGCCACAGTTTCGTGGATACTGACAAAGAACACCAGACTTGCGACTCAGGGACAAAGGACTTATTACTCATGGCACAGCAAGGAGAATGAGCACCCCATGCCCCCAAGTCCCAAGAGGACAATGCAGAGGGGCCCAGGTGGGCACTGGACCTGTGCCGGGCTTGCACTGCAGCTGAAGAACGCTGAGCTTAGAGAATTTACCAACCGTAAAGCAAGCAGTAGGCAAGCCTGCTTTTGTTTGAGGGGAAAGACATTACTTTATCCCTCAAGGTTGCTCATTAATACACAACCCTGAGAAATGGCCCAAGCAATGAGCAGCCAGGGCCTTGCCTTCAGGGCGTAACCAGAAGAAATGCGTAGGGATATTCAGGCTACGTGGCAAATTGCCTCTCCTGGCACTGACTCACCCAGACCCCAACTACTTCCCTACAGAGGATGTTTTCTGTCTCTTTCCAACTTGCAGCCCAGCCCCCCAGAGGCCAGTGGTACCCCCAGTCTCAGAGCCCTACTCTGTCTCTCTGCACATACGATGTTCATGTGAATTAAACAACCACCCCGACAGCAGTTCTGAAATCTGTTGAACAAGGCCCAGATCATGCCCTTGGTGAACTTGGGTACAAGCTTCGGGACTAGGACATATGTCCAAATAAGTGTGACAAGTGACAGACAATTACGTGTACTGGGAGTAAAACAGGAAGAATCTTGGGATACCAGAGGCGTGCTTCTTCCTGGAGTAAACCTACTGGGGTTAATGTTGCCCATCATGTAGGGAGCAGGTAATTTCTTTGAAAAAATAATCATAGGCCGGGCACGGTGGCTCACGCCTGTAATCCCAGAAATTTGGGAGGCCAAAGCAGGAGGATCACTTGAGGTCAGGAGTTTGAAATCAGCCTGGGCAACATAGTGAGATCCCTGTTGCTACAAAAAGTTTTTAAAAATTAGCCAGGCATGGTCACACATGTCTATAGTCCTAGCTATTCCAGAGGCTGAGGTGGGAGGATACCTTGAGTCCAGGAGTTCAAGGCTTCTGTGAGCTACGATCATGCCACTGCACTCCAGTCTGGGCGACAGAGCAAGACCCAGTCTCTTAAAAAAAAAAATTACAGATTCGCTGGAAGTTGCAAAGAGGGTATATAGGTCCCAGTGTACCCTTCACCCAATTTCTGCCAATAGTAACATTTTACATATAGTATGAAAACAAAACCCAAAATGTGACACTGGTGCACTGTTTGTGTATAGTTCTATGTCATTTTCTCACCTATGTGGATTCAGGATACAGAACTAGTCCCCCAGCACAAAGATCTACTTTGTGCTACCTGTCCCTTTATACTCCCCCCATACTCCCTACTCCTCAATATTCCCAAGCCCTGGCAACCACTAATCTGTTTTCCATCATAATAATTTTATCATTTATAGAATGTTATATAAGTGGAATCATACAGTGTATGACCTTTCGAGATTGACTTTTTCACTCAATATGAATACACCCTGAGGTTTATTCAAGCTGTTTTTACTGTGGAGTCACATTCCATGGTATGGTGGCGCCACAGTTTATGTAGCCATTCGGCCGTCGAGGGCCTTTGGGATGTTTCCAGGTTTTGGCTGTTACAAATATTAAATAACAGTGCTGTGATCATTTGTGTATAGGTTTTTATGTGAACATAAGTCTCATTTCTCTGAGATAAATGCCTAGGAGTGTAATTATTGGATCATATGGTAAGTATGTGTTTAGATTTGTAAAAAATTATCATTCTCTTTCTAGAATGGCTGTACCATTTTACACTCCCACCAGAAATGTATAGGCGATCCAGTTTCTCGGTATCCTCACCAGCATTTGATGTTATCAGTATTTTTTTATTTTAGCCATTCTTACAAGTATGTACTGATATCTCACTGTAGTTTTAATTTGTACTTCAACAATGTTGAATGTCTTTTCATGTATTTCTTTGATGAAATGTCTTTGGTTCATTTTCCAATTGGATTGTTTGATTTTTAATGTCGAGTTTTGAAATTTCTCAGTATATCCTTGATATGAAGCGTTTGTTAGATGCGTGGTCTGCCCTTTCCTTCACTGAGAGAAAACAGTGTGTGGTGTTTGTTTACATTTGCCTTTTGCAGCTGCCCATGTAAACCTGTGTGACAGGAATCAATGGAGAAAGAAGCAGATTCTAATAAAATATTAACATTTTCTGTTTGCTACCAAAAAAATGTGGTTTGTGAATCATTTCTGTCTACAGTTTGTCTTTTCATCCTCTTAACAAGGTCTTTCACAGAACAGATTTTTAATTTTGGTGAGATTCAATTTAACAATGTTTTCTTTTATGGATCATGCTTTTGGTGACATGTTTAAGAACTCTTCACTAAGTCCAAGGTCCCGAAGATTTATCCTATGTTTTCTTGTGAAAGTTTTATAGTTTTATGTGTTACATTTAAATCTGTGATTCATTTTGAGTTAATTTTTGTGTAATCTGTGAGTAGTTTTTCAAATGAAGTGTATTATTTTTTACTAATAAGTTTTATATACTTGTGGTAGAAAATTCAGTATATGGGTGAAATTACAGGGAAGAAAATTAAAATTTTGTGGCGTCCTATCACTACAGGAAATCACACAGTATGTTGATGTGTTTCCTTGCAGCTTTTTTTTTCTCCTTTTGTTCTTACATATATGTAGATACTTTTCAATTCAGTTTGAAGATCACAGAAAATTTTAAACTGAAACTTAGAAGTCAGATAAAGTTTTATTCTTTCTTCTTCATCCTTTGGCCAGGTTTACGGATGAGAAAACTGAGGCTTAGAAAAGACGACCAGCTTACCTGCAGCCAGGAAGGCAGCGGCAGGATAGCAACTCAGCTCCACCCGACCACTAAGCTAGCTGCTGTACTCCATGCAAGGCCAGCTTGCCACTGGTTGCTTAGACACAGCAAAACAGACAAAACGCTCTGACCTCCGGCCTTCCCTCATTCTGGGAAGCTGGGTTATAACTACTAATAATAGGGAGGAGAGTATGTGACAACACAGCCCCGGCCTGCAGGTCTAGAAAAGGTGCCCAGGGAGAAATGAATAATCTGGAAAACAACAAAAAATTAGGCTTATAGGCTCAGAATATTACAAACATGTTAGAAGACAGAACTTAAATGTTATTTAAATGTTTTTAATTATTAAGATAAATTAGTAATTGTTTTCCACAGCCTTCCCAATTTTAAAAAATGGGCAATGAAAATTTCTAGAATAAAAACAAAAGGCAGCTATAAAAGATATTTTAGGGACAATCGGGGGAAATTTGAATGTGGACTGGCATATGATAATGTCAATTTTCTTAGGTGGGACGTGGAGTAATGTCATATCTGCAACTTTGAAATGGGTGGGGCAGGAGAATCTCTACCTGTCTATGTCTATCTGTCTATGTATCGCTTTCTAGAGAGAGAGAGAGAGAATGTGAAAAAATATTAACCAGTGTTGTTCAATCTATTGAATCTAGGTGCAGAAAACACTGAGGTTCATAGCGACACTATTTCAACTATTTCTATTTATTTTCAAACTAAAAACGTAGATGTTGGAGTGAGGAAAAAGTACCTGACTTCCTTCCACAGCAACAATTACCCAAGCCATTGTGAGGAGATCAGACCCTTCCTTACCCGCCGCTCTAGGCAACAGGTGCCATTCTGATGGCATTCGGATACCTAAGGAGACTTAAAATTCTGTGCCACAATTTTGAGACAAGGCACTTCCCGCTGCCCCAGGGCGATCTTTTTGGATCGTTTCGCGCTGCCTGTGTCGTTTTTCTTTCTTAATTAAAATGTCGTAGGTAAAGGTCAATGCCTGGCACACAGCTGGCGCTCATAAGCCATTGCGAGGCTCACTTCTGGTAACTACTCTCTGCTTTGACTGTTTTTTTTTCACTTCTTTGTTTTTATTAATTACATTGTTTTTTTATTCAACTTTTTTTAAATTTTTTTAATTGAGGATATTATGGGGGTACAAACATTTTGGTTGCATTGTAATGCGTTTGCCTCGCCCAAGCCAGCGGTACATTCTTCCTTTCTTTCTTTCTAAGTCAAAGAGAATCATTCTAACTTTTGTATTAGATATTTTGAAGGGACGAAAAATAACAAATCCTCCTTTCCCTGACCGGGAATCGAACCCGGGCCGCGGCGATTGAGAGCGCTGCATCCTGTCCACTAGACCACCAGGGAAGCCGTGACTGCTTTCCTGGCGACATGCTATAGTAAATAAGTATCTGTGACGTATACCCTACGCGAGAAAGCTATTGGATAGTTCTTCCCCGCGGTATTCGTGAGGCCGCTCTAAGCGTCTGCTTCTCCCAGCTAGGCAGCCGCTACCTGTGGCAGGCAGACAAACGCAGGGCAGAGAACAGCGGCGTCAGGCAGAATCTAGTTATGATCGTCTTTCTGGAGAAAAGAAGAAAATAGCAGCGGCCTCCGGGAAAGTTGTGGCGTTTCTCAAGGGATGGAAAACAAAAAGCGACGTGTCAGAAGTGGGATTCGAACCCACGCCTCCATATGGAGACCAGAACACCCGCAGGCAAGGTACATACCTTGAGTCTGGCGCCTTAGACCACTCGGCCATCCTGACACCCGAACGCCAGTTGTGCTCCCTGGCTCTGATACTTGCGCCCAACCGGTCGCCCGGCCGCCCGCCCGCGGCAGAGCCTCGCTGCCCGGTCCTGCCGGAGCCCTGGCGGCGCCGCGCTGCTCACCCGGCCCAGGAACCGCGGGCTCTGGAAAAGGCGGGCGGGAGACAGCAAGCGCCGCCGCGCAGCCGGCTGCTGTGGGGACGGGCAGGTTGAGTCGCTACCTGGTAATCAGCTGGAAAAGCGCCTGCCGCGGAGCGGGTGACGATAATCGTTGTTGTTGTTGTTTTCTCCCAGGAACACGTTCTTAGAAATGTTTTTCTTCATTATCGTTGTTTCAGGGCCCTTCCCTCAAGGTCCACCCCGCGTGCTCCGCCAGCCCCGCCAGCGCCTTCCGTCCGGGACCTGCGGCACGAGGGCGGCGGCGGCGTGTCCCGCTGCACGCCCTGACGCGGACCTGGAGGCCGGCAGCGAAGTCCGGGCCGCGGCCCCGCGGCGGCTAACTCGGGCGCGGGGACACCCGGGCTCGGCCCTGCAGAGCGCGCCGGCGCCTCCCGGTGGCCTGTGCGTCCCCGAGGCCAGATGCCGCTCCTTCCTTCCTTCAGTCGTGGAATCTTGACGGCGTGTGCGCTGCGAGCGCACGGCCAAGAGACAGAGCCCCTGCCCTGCTACGCCACCTGGCTCGTGCGGGGACAACCGACCAACACAAATACACAGATGGTGAGGAAAAACAAAAGCCAGGCAATAAAATGCTGGAGGAGTTCTATGTTTTTTGACTGGGCAGCTAAGTAAGGCCTCACTGAGTGACTTTTGCTAAAATATTTTTCAGAATCGGAAAGCTATGACTCATGCAAATATAAAATGCATGTGTCTCAGGATTTTGTTCAATAATGATTAAACAAAATTATTCTGACACTTGCTAAGACAGCAAGGGAGAATTTTATTCAAACTGTTGTAACAGGGGTATCGCAACAGGGGAGAGAGACTGGGTTCAACTCCAAGTACAACAAAGACAGGCAGGGATTTAAAGCCAAGGAGAGGGGCGGGGATCATGGATGGAAAATTACTAAGAGGACACATCAAGGGTAGGGGATTCTTGCTAAACAGGCCTTACAGGATTCTTGCTAAAAGGAGGCCAAGGACTTAGACAGCAAAGGTGAGAAATGAGGAACTTGATCAGATGTCAAGTGTGAGGGGATTCACACTAAACTGACATAGCAGGCCTTTTTGCTAAGACTGGGCTGGACAGGCCAAAGACATGTTGGAGTCCAAGGTAGAGGCCTAGTCTAAAACAGGGATCAGAGGAGCCCGACTAAAGTTTGGTCAAGGAGAGAGTCTTTGTCAGTGAGTGACCTGAATGATGTTACAACCAATGCACAGGAGAATTTCAAGAGATTTTTTAAATAATCATACAACCAAAGGAATGCTGAAAAGAGGTTGCTAACAGGTGAAAGGTTACTATCCCAACGTAATAAACGGTGATGTTTGAAGTTATGGTTTCTACTTTGGGGTTATCTTTTCTTTACTACAAAGAAATCAGTTGCATCTCTTGACAAATTTTATTTGTATTGCTATGAACAGAAATCCTTGGCCTTTTTCTCCAACAGAAACCATTTCATTACTATCAGTTTTCTACAAGTTAACCTCTACCCCTACAGAGTTGTAAAATAGCCAAGTCCATAAAACTTAGTCAAAAGTGCACATGCCAGTGGAAATAGATAATCTCTCAAAGGTCTGCTAGACAATGCCAACCACTCCACAGAAAGGACACCTAGTAACAATCTCTTTTGTCAATTTCCAAGTTTTACGTTATTTTTTTCTTTAATAAAAAATCATTTTAATTGACAAGTAATAATTGTATATATATAAATAAGGGGTACCATGTGATGTTTCAATACATATATACATTGTGGAATGATCAAATAAGGCTAATTAACACGTCCATCACATCACATACTTATTTCGTTCTGGAGAGAACACTTAAAATCCACTTGTGTATGTTCACAATATCAGGTTAAATTACTAAAAATGGTAAGAAAAAAATAACATTTTAAGATAATAATACAAAAACAATAGAAAAAATCCACTTCTGTAGCAATTTTGAAATATATTAATACATTATTATTAGCCATAGTCACCATGCTGTGCAGGAGGTCACCAGAAATCATTCCTCTTGTCAAATAGAAATTTTATGCCCTTGGAGTAACATCTCCCCTTTTCCGATCCACACCTCCCAGCTCCCAGCCTCTGATAGCACCCATTCTACTCTCTATGTCTATCAGTTTGACTTTCTTAGATTCTACATATAAGTAAAATCATAAAGTATTTGTCTTTCTGTGACTGCCTTACGTCGTGTAGCATAAGGTCCTCTGGATTCATCCATGTTGTCACAAATAACAGAATTTTTTTCTTTTTTAAGGTTGAATAGTATTCCATTGCGTATATATACCACATTTTTTAACCATTCATCCTTGATAGGCATTTTGGTTGTTTCTATATATTGCTTATTGTGAATAGTGCTGCAATAAATATGGGAGTGCAGACATCTCTTTGACATACTGATTTCAGTTGCTTTGGATATATACCCAGTACTGGGATTGCTGGATCATATGGTAGTTCTATTTTTAGTTTTTTGAGGAATCACCATACTGTTTTCCATAATAGCTGTGCTAACTTACATTCTCATCAACAGTGTGGAAGGATTCCCTTTTCTCTGCATGATCACCTACACTTACTATCTTTTATTTTTTTGATCATAGCCATTCTAACAGATGGAAGGTAATATCTCACTGTGATTTTAATTTGCATTTCCTTGATGATCAATGATATTAAGCATTTTTTCATATATTTGTGGGCCATTGTATGTTTTCTTTTTAGAACTGTCTATTCAGGTCCTTTGCCCATTATTTAATTGGGCTATTTGTTTTCTTTTCATTGAATAGTTTGAGTTCCTTTGTATATTTTGGATATTAAACCCTTATCCAACGTATCATTAGCAAATATTTTCTCCCAATCTTTGAGTCGTCTCTTTTCTCTGTTATCATTGTTTCCTTGGCTGTGCAGAAGCTTCATAGTTTGATGCAATCCTTTTTCTCTATTTTTGCTTTTATTGCCTATGCTTTTGGATTCATATCCAAGAAATTATTACCTGGACCAATGTCCTGGAGCTTTTCCCTTATATTTTCTTATTGTAGTTTTACAGTTTCAGGTCTTAAATTTAAGTGTTTAATACGTTTTGAGTTGATTTTTGTATATGGTATGAGATAAGGGTCTAATTTCATTCTTCTGCATGTGAATATACAGTTTTCCCACCACTATTTTTTGAAGAGACTGTCTTTTCCTCATTTTGTATACTTGGCATCTTTGTGGAAAATCAGTTGCCTGTAAACGTATGGATCTATTTCTGGACTCTCTATTCTGTTCCATTGGCTGTTTGTTTTGAGCAGTGTGATTCCTCCAGCTTTATTCTTTTTGCTCAGAATTGCTTTGGCTATTCTGGGTCTTTTCAGTTCAAATATTAGAATTATTTATTTCTGTGAAAAATGTTATTGAAATTTTGATAGGAATTGCATTAATCTGTAGATTGCTTTGGGTAGTATGGCCATTTTAATAGTATTAATTCTTGCAATCTATGAACATGGAATTATCTCTCCATTTACTTGTGTCATCTTCAGTCTCTTTCATCAATGTTTTGTATTTTTCACGGTAGAGATCTTTCACCTGCTTGGTTAAATTTATTTCTAAGTATTTTATTTTTCTGTAGCTATTGTAAATGAGATTGTTTCCTTGATTTCTTTTCCAGATAGTTCACTGTTACTGTATAGCAATGCTACTGATTTTTTTTTTTGTACTTCTAAGCAGTACATTTTATCATCATAGGATTTATTTTAAAGACATTCTCAACAGTTTTTGTTTTTTATTGCAAGACAACCTCTCAGTTTTTATTTAAGTTTCATTGATTTCAACAAGTAAAAAATTCAGCCACATTTGAATTCCATGGATAGGATGCTATCAGTAAGAAAAGCACAGAGCCTTTCAAGTTCTAATGGAGAAATATGAAACTAAAAAAATTAGCATTAACAGAATCACCAAGGGGTGCTACTGATTTTTGTATGTTTATTTTGTATCCTCTAATTTTACTAAATTTGTTTATTAATTCTAACAGTTTTTTTGTTGTAGTCCTTAGGGTTTTCTATATATAAGATCACGTCATCTGCAAACAGGGACAGTTTAACTTCTTCCTTTCCAATTTGGACACCTTTTGCTTCCTTCACATACTAGGACTTCCAGTACTACGTTGAATAGAAGTGATGGGAATGGGTGTCTGTGTGTTGTTCCTATCTTAGGGGAAAAGCTGTCAACTTTTCACTATGAGTATGATGATGGATTCGCCATATTACCTTTATTGTGTCAAGGTACATTCCTTCTATGCCTAATTTGGTGAGAGTTTTTATCATGAAAGGTTGTTGAATTTTTTCAAATGCTTTTTCCGCATCTGTTGAGACCATTATATGGTTTTTGTCCTTCATTCTGTTAATGTGGTGTAGCACATTTATATATGGGTGTATGTTAAATCATCCTTGCATTCCAGGGATAAATCCC